TCGAGGAAATCGACTTCGAAAATTCTTCGGCCGTTTCCACTCCGGGGCAAATATTGACTCGCTCGTTAAACCGTCTGTAACGGGAGCTTCATTGCTTTCCGAGCGCCGTTTCGCGTTCAGACCGCGAAAGTTCCTGCGGATCCGTGGCTCCGGAAGCGAGGTTCAAGGGTTTATTTTCCGTGATATTGAAATATTATTTCATTTCGCCGAACGGTCGATTAATTCAGGCATTCCCACGGGTCAAGGGATGCCGAGGGTGCATAAGCGTCAGCGATCTATCGAATTGACCCACAAATTCGGCCGGAGGTTCGTGTTGACATTCGAGTGGCGTCATCGGTCAGAGTAAAATATCTTCTAGTTTAAACTTACTTTCCAATCGAATTGGTTATTAATTCCTTCGGACTTTTGTATACAAGCCACTACTCATGTAAATTTCCAATGATGAGTTGTCACAAACGATTATCGAAAAAATTGAATACTACGTCGAGCGAAAACAAATTTCGCTGAAAGGAAAACGCATGTCGTTTGCCATATAAATAGCCGCGAGAAGTTATGGGTCGATTCAATACAAAGAAGACTGTACAAGGGCTGAAAAATTTTATTAATAGCGGATCAAGCGGCAGCAGACGTTTGAATGGTATACAGGTGAGTGCAAAAAGAGGCGGCCCTCGATCGAACCGGGCGACGTCTCGAAATGGAAAATGTCGAACGGGCGGAGGGTTGAAAAGCGCTCTAAAGCTCTCCCCGTCAATTCCCTTTAAGAGAAAACCAGAAGTGCCGAGTCACTGCACGATGGGGATCACACAGGTGTTCGATGCAAGTACGGTTAACGAGTCGTCATTAAGGACTCCGGTCTATTACAGAATAAACGGGCAGGAGCTACGTGCAGAATGAGTGTGGAAAATATTAAAGTTTGCAATAGAAATGTGAAATTTATTACAAACATTCCCAACGAAAATATAAATCAAATGTCGCCTGCACGAATCGGGTAAAATATTAACCCCTTTGGCTACTGTTGGCGCCGGAAGGATCTTGAAAATTTTGATTTCGATGTATCGTTGGCCGTAAAATGTTCAAATGTTCCGTTAATGACATATTATATAAATCTGACTATTTTAGATAGGTTTAATTTACTTCAATTCAGTGTTTCGACGGTTTTAATAGACTTTCGTATAATTACTCCTCGACGCATTCTGCCAGAGGGTTAATACCAACCCCTCCAACGCCGTACAACTTCAAAAAATATATTCCCGATAAACGTCTGCAGTAACCTAATAATCAAAGCAATCCGATCGACCAACTAAGAATGACGAGAAAACAAAATAACTCCAACAGAGATAGTCACCGAGGAAACTCGAAACGAAATGATTCACCAGAGTTCATTATAACCGAACGAAGGGACCGAGAGAGCCAGCGAGGTAACGTGGAACACTCGCTTTAAAACCAACCGGAAAGCATATCGTATTTAAATAAGGTAACCCGAACGGTTCCATGGCAGTTCCTCCCGCGCCTTTTCAACCCTTACAGCCCGCGCGCCCCTCGTAACGGGAGCACGCCTTCCGACGGGGGAATACGTTTTATCCGGCAACGAACGCATTTGTAGAATTACTTTCCGCGATTGGTATAATAGAGAATACCGGCGAACCGCGGCTAGGCCTAGTCGGCCGGTCATCTTTTTGCACGGTCCGCGCGGAGCCGGGCCGAGCGGCCGATCCCGAGTATAAACTTTCCGGTTTCCCTGCTGCCGGTCGTTGATTAAAGGGTATTACTTACTCGGTAGTCGTACAACCTCGACAAGTCGACCCGTTTTCTTTAAACGAAGCGCGAGAACCGGCAAAGTGGTGTTCCTCTGTTTCTCCGCCGCCAACCTCCGCCCTCTCGCTTTCTCTCTCCTTTATCCCGCTCTCTCTCACGCTCCCTGCTCCACCCCCTGCTCTTCCTCTTTCACCTTTTCTCCCTTCAAGTTGCCAGCGGGATTCAAGTTTCCACGATACGGTCCAGCGCCTCTCTCACCTTCCCTGTTCCTCGCTGTCTCTCCCTCTCTCTCGC